CAGTGAAAATCGCATCGGGATGGGGAGGAACATGCCCCTTTATGACGTCTTGTTGAGCAAGGTCAGTCAACAGCAGAAAGAAAACCTGTTCGCTTTTAGCCATGGTCTTGGCTCTGACCACCTTTGCTAGCAATTGGCTTTGAATATTCATATTACCAGGTGGTTAATTAAAAATCAATCTGCATTTGAGAGGGATATAATTGGGCAACTTTATGTACATGCAACATTATCTCTAATCAAGCCTAGATTAAAAGAAATTAACTTCAATTAAGAAGATAATTTAAGTTAATAACGGAAAAGATAGAATTATGCAAAAATGTTGCCTAGCTTTAATACATTTTTAATAAAGAATTTTAAAGTTGAACAGCTAATTTTTTACTTATGGTTTTTGTGGTTGTACGGAAATTACTAAATATACAAAATTAATCTAAAAGAGTTATAAACGCATCGAAACAAAAATTCAATTTGAATGATTATTCAAAGATAACGTTACAGGACTTATCACCCAGAACAATTGAAATAAGTTAGAAATGATGTATTTGAAAATAACGATTGTCAGAAAAGTTAAACCAAATTTATTCCTTATAAGAAACATTTAAAAAGTTATCTAGTCTTTTTCAACAGTTAGCGGAGTCACACACCAAGTTGAGCATCTTCCCGTAGCGAGTGCCTCCACCCACCCACAATACAGTCATGGAAGAATTAATAGAAACGATAGGAGAATGTTCTTTAAGCATTACATTATTCATTTTAAAATAAAGAACAAAAGGTGTAAGACAATTTTAAGTGAGAAATAACATTAAAAAAATCATAGCCATGTAAGTAATTGTGATTTTATTTTATTACATAGAATATTTTTGTCCACAAAAATATTTTCCCAGTAAATATTAGTTACTAACTATGTAAGTGCAAATAACTTTTTTAAAAAATTAATAAGATCTTGTAAGCGTTGTCAGCATAATTTGCAGGAAATGTTAAATACATACTGAACATACTAAAGTTTAACTTATATTGCTGAAAATTTATTTATCAGCATTTGCTTGTTGCAAAGCGGCGGCTGCAGCAGCTCCGCTGACTGGAGCCTTAATGTCCAGCAGCTGGCATAATTGGTTCCTCAAAGGACGCACCTCCACGAGCGGCATGGTCCAGTCGGTTTCCGAGAGCAATGTTAGGATTTCATCCATATTGTCCTCGGGCACTTCAGTGACGTCACCGTGAAGAGCCAGCGCTTCGTATAATTTTGTAGCAGCGGTTTTGCGAACATGGACATGTTGCAGTCCAAGGAATACTGAGAGCTTGGAAAGGATGCGCCTGGACAAACGCGGAACCTGAAGCAACTGGCAGAAGGCACTAATACTGGAAGCTGTCTTATACAGCTTCTTGTACCCCTTAACCTCCAAGTTCAGCAGCCTATAGATATCCTCTGCAAAAGGATTTGCTTCATCATGGAGCACCGATTCCACAGTTCCCGATCCAATGAGTATATCCAGGAAACTAAGCATGGGATAGGTTACGCGCTCGTTCCACAGGTGCTCCTCGAAGAGCTGAACAATCTCGGCGCAGAGACGAGGCACAGTCTCGGGATTGGAACGCAAGAATTGGAAAAGCGCGTTCGAAGCATACTTGATCTGTAGGAAAAATATTTCAGAATCAAAATAAAAAAAATAATATACCTAACTTACCAGAGATTCAGTTAGTTGACCTATGCTGGCACTAAGGCCTAACAGCACTCTTTTAGAGTAATCTGGCAGAGCGAGCAGCTGACAGAACAATGGGAATGTGTGATCGGCGAATAGCCAAAGCACGGAATCCGCATCCGCGGGGAATATTTCCAAAAGTTTCGAATGCTCTCGTATATGTGGAATCCTGGGCTGATGATGGATCAGTTGGCAGCAAAGACGCCCGCCTAATCCTCGAGTACGATCTATCTTCTCCACAGCCTGCTGCATAAAGCCCACCACAACCTGCTGGACGAGCTCTGAAGTGAGGAGATCAGGCGGGCACTGAGTCACGATCTCGTAAAGCGATGACATAGCCGCCTCCCGCACCCAAGCTCCAATATCACCGCGATTGTCCAGGGTGTACTCGTCCAAAGCTTTTAGCAGACATTTGAAAACCTTCTTAAAGTTTGTAGGCTCTGCAAATGAATCTGAAAGAGAATAGTTGTACTACGATATAACCTAATTGTTGTGGAAAACTTACAGGAACCTCCTCCATAGCCCACGGTTTTTACCACTTTAGTCAGGGCTCTCACGCTTTCTGTGCGTGCCTCGCTCCATCTGTATGTCTGGATATTCTCGCGATCACCCATTTCACCCACCAGAACCGCTTGCAAAGGAGTCAACGAATGCTTAACCAGACTGTCCATTATAGCAGGCAGGTGGGGACGGATCATAAAGGACGGCAGCACTCCCAAGGCAGCAATGTATCCCATGCGTATGTGCTCTTCTAAATCGTTTTCGGCTCCAATCAAATAGGCTTTAATAATGGCTTCGTTCTCCTGGTGTCTGGTATCCAAGCAGTAATATGTGGTACAGAGCTCACCAAAGGCCTCCACGGCAGAGTCTCGAATGGAGGTAGACTTAGTGATCAGACAGGAATCTATGACCTTTTGCCAGGAAGCTGAAGAAAAAATATAATTAAATCACTTTAGTAGAGTAGCATAAATAAGCGCTTACCCAAGCACTCGGTCGTTGCCTCTAGCTTGGCCAGACTGCAGTTCTTAATGAAGTTGGTCGTGCAAGATTTCATCAGTTCACCGCTCATTCCGCGATAGCAATTTTTGTCCACGAACGTCTTTATAAGCTCGTTGAGCTCCGCAATCCTTTGATTGGAAAGATATGTCACGGGTGGATCGCTCTTTTTCTCTAAATTCCGGAGGGCCAGAGTAATCTCTCCCATAGCCAAGACGCAACCATGTCGGCAATTAATATCGATGGTATCGGTTTTAGCCAGTAGTTGTGGCAACACCACGGCGGCCATGTACTCTGGCTCTTTCAGGGAAAGCTTATGCAGGGCTTTGGCTGTCAGCTCCCTTATAGGAGAGTCCCAATGGTTAACCTTGTGCTGCACTAGATGACTAATCAAAGGTTCCCTGTATACCTCAAACTGGGCAATATATTCACTGATGTTTAGGTAGGAATTCTGCCGAATGCCTACAGAGTAAAAGTCAGTGGTGGTGGAGATCTCGATGCCGAAGGGGAAGTTTCCCAAGCGGCCAACACTTTCCTGGAAAGCGGCGGAGGCAGCCCGTCTGCAGTTGACCTCACGATCGAACACGGCCACGGTCAGCAATCCAGATGAGATTTTGTGCACAAAGGGTTTTACGTCATCAGGATTGTAGGCCCTGGCAAATGCCCAGCACATGTAGCAGGCGGAGTCGCGGATGTGTTGACCCACCGACATGTAGCCCTTCATTTCATCGTAGAATAGAGCTTGCATAAGCAGAGGAACTAGCTCCTCCAATCGATGTGGCAGTAGCAATCCCCTTTTAGCCAGTTCTGCCAAAGCCAAACATGCACCGTGCCAGGCCTCGTGAGGCTCTAGTGGGCTTAGTATATCAATCACTGAGCCTATGACCTCATCCGCCAGCTCCTTTGGAAGGCGATTGGTGACTCTGCCCAATCCTTTGGCTGCACTCCAGCGTATATCGTTTCCTCCGCTTCGGAGGGCTTGAAGCAGCTCCTCAATCACCTCTTCGATAGCATCAGGCACAATAATCTCCTCACCTTCTTCTGGCGATACCTCCACAGCAACTGATTCGCCTCCCGCTCCAACTGCCTGGCTGAGATTGGTGGCCAGTGAACGAGTGCCTAATAATAAGAGTTTTTAAATGGTTTTAAGTCCCAATCTACCAATTTATCTTACCCCTTTTGTACCGCCAGCTGGCAATGCGAGGCTTTAAATGAACCAGTCCGATTCTCTGAACGATTTTCACATAGTATTTGTACTTGAGAAAGTCGTTGCCGTCCTTGTACTGGCAGGAGGTGATCCACTGAAGGAGCTTGTCAGCATAGTGCTGAAGATCCTCCCGCTTGCCGTGTTTTAAAATAGCAGCCACTGCAGCCAGTTGGCCGAACTTGACATTCACCGTATCCGCCTGATGCTGCTCCATGATCCAGTCCAGGAATCGCGCCAGATACAGATCCTTGATGTCGCTGCGAATGAAATACTTGGCGGCCAAGTAGGCAGCCATACTGCTGCAAGTGTCGTTGGAGGACACATAAAGCTGGATTAGCTCATAGATGCGTTCCATCTTAGTGCTTTTGGACTGGACATGGTTTATGGGACTGGAATTGATGGTGTCATTAGGAGCAGTTTCATAGGCATCCAGTCTCGCCATGTGAAAGGGATTAAGGACCAGGATGGACATCCACAGAAGCAGTATATAGCGCGTTTCCCACTGCTCGAACTCCTTAGGATCCTGCTGGCCCAGCAGGTCCAGGACAAACTCCAGATCGCTCAGTTCATGGGGCATAAACTTGACCATGACCTTATATGTGCGAACTTTGCAGATGATATAGAGATACTTAAAGGCCCCATGACGTTCTCCTTCGTCCAAATCCGGCCTGCGAATCTTTTGCAGAAGTTTGCCCAGCAACTCCTCCAAATGGGGATCCAGCAGATGCGGCTGCTCCTGGTATCTGGACAAAACCTGGGCGTACTGCTCGAACTCTCTTTCAAAAGTGCGAGCTGCAATCGATTTAATGTTTTCGATCATCTCCAGCACCTGCTGCAGCTCGGTGAAGTGCTCCAGCGTATTTGCCGGCAGGTCCTCATCCTTGCATTCCTCCACCGGATTGGACATGGCTGTTTAACTAAGTAATTGAGTTTTGAACCCGCAGCCGGCAAAAAAAAAGCGACTAGTTTTTGTGAATCATTTAAGTCTGCCAGAGTTGCCACCCAGTCAGTGTTACCGTTTTGTTCGCAGCTGGTAATACCGCCGATCAGCTGCTTGGCTAGAGTTGCCAAGTGAAGTATAGCGTGGCAAAGCGAAGCAGCGAGATTTTATCGCTAGCAAAATTTTTTTTTTTTCCGTTAATTATCCCTGAAGCGTAGCAAAGTAAGCTAGGTTATTGGAATTCAAGTTAATTGTAGCCGGTGTACCGCTCACACGTTCGTCGAGTTTGCTGTGAGCGCGGTGGCTCATGAAAATCGCTGTGAAAGTGCAAAATCCGCCAGAGCAGTGCATTGTTGACAAACCACAAATTCTGGCCCGCAGTAAAAACATGAAATCGGATAACTTCCGGCTCATAGCAGAGGTGGCCAAGCGGCGGTGCCTGTGGGACACCAACTTGGCCATGGCCTACCGCAACCAGGAGGCGGCGGCCCAGTGGGCCGATGTGGCGCAAATTTTGCAGCAGGATGGTGAGTGGCGGGCAAGGTGGCGGGTCTTTCGCCTAGGCATCTATAAATAACACCTGGTACTTTCTTTGCAGTCATGCTGTGCAAGAAGCGTTTCAAGGGAATGCGGGATAGCTACCGGGCGGAGGTGCGCAAGATCCAGCAGAAGCGCATCCAAATGTCCCACTGGACGTACTTTCGATCGCTGGAGTTCATGCGCCACCTCTTCGATCCGGAGCATCTGGTCCCCTTTCCCCCGGAGCCATTCGATATAGACGCCGAACTACTGGCAAACTGCGATTCCCCCCGGCTGGTGGACTTTGCCATCGATGTGGATGATGATGACTCCGTTGACTTCGAGATCATGGAGGACATTTTCAGGCGGGAATCTTCGGTGCCCCAGGATTCGGGCTCAGATGGCGGTTCGCTGATCAAGCCGTTGGATTCCATATCCTCAGCTGCCCGGGATCCCTCGCCCAAGTTGCTTTCGCCCATGTATTTGCCACACAATAATAATAATAATAATAAGCAATTCCTGCCACGCCCACCGCCGCCCTCGAAAAGATATCGCCGCCGGAAGACCTCCCCTGAGTTCGATGGCCCTATTGTGAATGGCCACACCAAGCAGGCCACACCAAATTCTGCCGCTGAATCCGACCTCAAGAACGATTCGGACTACAGCTTCATGGTGAGCATGGTGCCGCACGTCAAGTCGCTGTCAGCCATCAGCAACCTTAAGTTTCGAATGGAGATGGCACGGGTTTTAGTGGAGCTCAGGAAGGAGGATCAGCAGCTGCTTGAAGGAGCGGGACGAGAAGAAGGCGAAAGTGTGGGCGGATTGCCGAAACTAACGCCCGCTCCGGACTCTAGTTTCGCCTCTCACCCGGAGGAACCCAAGTACTATCCCTCAAATTCCAGTTACCACATCGGTAGCCCGCAATCCCCATCCTCGTACGACTTTGTGGACAGCTCCATTATTGAGTGCGATGTCAAGATTGAGAACGAAGCCTTGCTTTGAGGTTTCCAGCTTACACATTTTTAGCAATCATCCAAATTTAAATTACGATTTTACATTCATGTGGAATTTTTTATTGAATTCCCTCTTACAATTTATATCTTGATTTTGTATTGTTTTAATTATATTTTTACCGTACTCAATGACGAGTATGTTCTGGGTTTTGCCAGTTTTATTTGTACTTCATAGCAATATCCTAAACATAAGACCGTTTTACACATTGTATTCTTGCTTTTGAACACAAATATTATTCTAGGTAAAAGTTTGCAAATCTAATAAATTTGTTTACAAATCATTTTCATCTGTTAAGGTACGATATATATAGGCAATTATGGTACGCCCCAGAGTTCAGATGAATAAAAATTGAATATAACAAAGACTTGGCTATTTTATTTCACTATTTTCTATAACATTTCATTTTCAAATAATAAAATGTTATTCTCGAGATAGAGCGCAGGACAACTATTTAAAGAATGTTTCTTGAAGGTCAAAAGACCTTATCGGTTTGGTACTTTTTTTTAAAGGGAATTAATCAATACCGTACAATTTCCGCAGTCTGCCGAGATGCTAATGCGTTTTTCTAGATTCCCTTAATCTAGTTTGATTTAAGATTGCATATCAAGAGATCCCTTAATTACATGCGCATATAAATTTATAAAATGGGTCAACGATTTGAAAAATGGCCTGGGTGGAAGATTTTTAAGAAACTTCAGGAAGGAAACATACTAGGCCGGATGAAAAGTCCCCGGTCTACCATAGTAAAAAAAATTTTTTTTTCAAAATTCAATTTTATTATTCAACATAGTTGCCTTCGAGGGCGATACAGCGATTATAGCGATTTTCCAACTTTTCGATGCCACTTTTGTAGTACTCTTTCGGTTTATCCTCAAAATAGGCCTCAGTTTCAGCAATCACTTCATCATCGGTCTTAAATTTCTTGCCAGCGAGCATTCTTTTAAGGTCTGCAAACAGGAAATAGTCGCTGGGGGCCAGATCTGGAGAATACAGTGGATGAGGAAGCAATTCGTAGCCCAATTCATAAAGTTTAGCCATCGTTTTTCCAGACTTGTGACATGGTGCATTGTCTTGGTGGAACAGCACTTTTTTCTTCTTCAAATGCGTCCGTTTCTTTGCGATTTCGGCTTTCAACCGCTCCAATAAAGCAATGTAATAGTCGCTGTTGATTGTCTGTCCCTTCTGGAGATAGTCGATGAATATTATTCCATGCGCATCCCAAAAAACAGACGCCATAACATTTCCAGCCGACTGTTGCGTTTTTCCACGCTTTGGATTGGGTTCGTCGCTTGCTGTCCATTCAGATGATTGACGATTGGACTCTGGAGTGTAGTGATGGAGCCATGTTTTATCCATTGTCACATATCGACGGAAAAATTCGGCTTTATTGCGCTTAAAGATCTCCAAACACTGCTCCGAATCATCAACTCGTTGTTGTTTTTGATCGATTGTGAGCTCGCGCGGCACCCACTTTGCACAGAGCTTTCGCATGCCCAAATATTCGCGAATGATATGATGTACACGTTCCTTTGATATCTTCACAATGTCTGCTATCTCGCTTAACTTCATTTTACGGTCATTCAAAATTATTTTATGGATTTTTTTGATGTTTTCGTCGGTAACAGCCTCTTTTGGGCGTCCACTGCGTTCACCGTCTTCAGTGCTCATTTCACCACGTTTAAACTTAGCATACCAATCAATGATGGTTGATTTTCCTGGTGCAGACCCCGGAAACTCTTCATCAAGCCACGCTTTTGCTTCAACTGTATTTTTTCCTTTCAAAAAGCAATACTTTATTAACACACGAAATTCTTTTTTTTCCATCTTTTCAACATCAAATTTTCATCCGGGACAGCTGTGTTTCTAATTTTATTATTTCATTGTTAAAAAAGGAAAAACAAATATATGAGAAAATATTCGAATTCTTTACAACCGTACAAAAACATAAACAATTTTAATAGTTTCTAAATAGTACATTTGAAAAACATTTCAAACCATATATGTTTCGTATCAAGCGTTCCCAAAGTAAGGTCAGCCGACTTCGGAAGTCGTAGGACATTTTCGGCTCGCCGCCTGGCATTTAGATTCGACGCGAAACGGTCACACTGTGGCACTGCTTCAACATAAAGTGTGAAAATTTGTGGAAATATTGCTACTAGTACAGCGATCTAATCGATTCGGGAGCAAAAACCAGCCCCCGCAGCAAAGCGCCCGCGTGTTTCACCTGATCCGAGGATGCAGAGATCCACAGAGCGGATACGGCGGCTCAAGAAGCTGAAGAGCGTTACGGCAACGCAGGATGGTGGTGGCGGCGGTGGAGGAGGCGATGGAGCGGCGACGGCGGAAAACCGGACATCCGAGTCGTCGGACACAAACGGCGGAGCTGCTAGCGGATCGGGCGGCAAGGAACCCGGCTCCCTCAATCTGGACATCTTCAAGCACTTTGACAAATCCGGACGGAGCGAATTGTACGTGTGTGGTTCCACGCTCAGACACCGATACAAACGCAGCCAGAGTTATACATATATGCAAACGCGCACACACACTCGCAGTACAGTGGCTGCCATCAGTCTGTGTCCTGCTGCTGGATATTCGCGCGCGCTCTTGTGTCGACTGTTTGGACCCACTGTGTGTTCTTCCATATCATCTAGCTAAATTAAACGTTTACTTCTAGCCTGAAGTACCTCAAGCAGGAGCTGCAGGATGCGACGGATTCGCCCGTCTACGACCAGAACGGGGAGTTTAAGCAGGGCATCTCCCATGCCATCTACCAGCTCCTTTGGCAGGCCCTGCGCCACACCCACAAGAAGGACCTGGTGCTCCATCTGCTCCTGGAAGTCGTGGTGAGTGGGAAAACTTTATAGGGCTCTTTCTAAAAGATATGAAGAACATTACTTTGTAAGCTGTATATGTTGACTATAATATTTTAAATTGATTGATTAATTCTGAAAGTAATATTTAAAACCTCAACCTTAGAGGGTGATAATAAGTCCAATGTATACCTTTTTCTCAGGCCCTCCATGCGGACTTTCCCAGCCTTATAGTGGACGTAATAAACATTCTGGACAGCGAAACCTCTCTCATTACCGATGACTTTCAAGAGGTGCGACATGCCTTCGTGCAACTGGTCAAGGACTTGGACAAGGTGGTTCCAGAAAGTCTGTTAAAGGAGCGATTGGAAATCGATACGCTGCAGGAGGCGGGAATTGTCAAGAACAAGAGTTTCTACTCTAAGTTCATCAAGGTCAAAACCAAGTTGTAGTATGTATTATAACAGTAATTTTTGGTTGATTTATTATGTAATTTTTCCTTCCCATTTTTAAGCTACAAGCAGCGTCGTTTTAACCTTTTCCGTGAGGAGAGCGAAGGCTTTGCCAAGCTTATTACAGAGCTGAATCAAGAATTTGATGAGAACACCACGCCAGAGAGCATTATGGACATCATTAAATCCCTTATAGGTAATACATTTGCTTTTACATATTGGGACTAGTAATATCAATCGATAGTAATCGGGCCACAAAGATAATAGGGCTCCTAGAATGATGTATATATGTTGATTAAATCCCTTTCATAGGCTGCTTCAACCTGGATCCCAATCGCGTTCTGGACATTATTATCGAGTCATTTGAGACTCGGCCAGATCGCTGGAACTTGTTTATTCCCCTACTGCGCAGCTATATGCCCACCGGTGCCATAATTTGCGAGGTCCTCGGATACAAGTTCTGCCACTTTAAGGACTCCCGCACGCCCCGCTCTTTATATCATGTTTGCGCCCTTTTGCTAAAGCACGGCGTCATCGCGCTGAATGATGTCTATGTGTGGTTGACTCCAAACGACGGGAGCATCAAGGCGGACTGGGAGGAGGAGTTGGCGGATGCCAGGGAAATGGTGCGCAAGCTGAACCTCATCCAAACCAATAAGAAGGAGGACGAAAAGGATCCCCCACCGCCGCCCTCGGTTAAGAAATTTAATGAGGTATAGTTGGTAAAAACTACTTAAAAGGGCGACACTACTAACATTGCCATTTTTATCCAGGAAAAATACAATGTCAATCAAAAGTTTGGTCTCTGCGAGGCTCTACTTAAAGTTGGTGACTGGGAGAACGCCTACAAGATCATCCAGAAGCTACCGGAGCAGGCTGTCGTACTTCAGGAACCCATTGCCCGTGCGATTGCTGATCTGATTCACCTTTCCGTGGAGAACGTGTACTATAAGAAGTGCTTTAAAGCACCTGCCGGAAGGAGACAGAGTCGAAATCGCTTGTACGACGATACCAAGTTGTTGGCCAAGATGCAGGCAAAGGAATTCAGCGATTTGCGGAAGTACACCTGGCCGATGGCTAATGTCTTGGGACCCGCCATGCACTACGATACAGTGCTGATGTACAAGTTAATACGTATTATGCGGAAATTAGTAGTGGAGATGGGCGTGGATAGCTTGAATGGACCACCTCCAAATTCGGAGGCGGAGCAGCATTACTATGACATTATGAGCTCGCTGGATGCCTGCATTCTACCCTCTCTTCTCTACCTGGACAACAACTGCTCGATGTCCGAGGAGATTTGGGCAGTGCTCAAGTATTTCCCATACCATTTCCGTTACAGTTTGTATGCACGTTGGAAGAACGATAGCTACCAGTTGCATCCGAATTTGATAAGGCGGTGTGGATTGGCTCAGCGGGATATCAAGGCGCTGATGAAGCGAGTAAGCAAGGAGAACGTGAAACAGCTGGGTCGCTTGGTAGGCAAGTACAGCCATTGTGCCCCAGGTCTGCTGTTCGATTATGTGAGTCTAGTAGAAGCTATTTTGCCAATCGTTTTTTTCTTAATTTCCATTTCCATTGCAACAGATCCTATTGCAAATACAAATCTATGACAATCTCATCGGGCCCGTCTGTGACATGCTCAAGTATCTTACTGCCCTCTCCTTTGACTGTCTGGGCTACTGCATCATCGAGTCCCTGACGTTAACGGGTCGTCTCAGGTTCAAGGATGATGGCACCTCTTTATCCTTGTGGCTTCAAAGCTTGGCCTCCTTCTGCGGCACCATCTACAAGAAGTACAGCATCGAGCTGAGTGGATTGCTGCAGTATGTGGCTAATCAGCTGAAATCACAGAAGAGCCTGGACCTACTCATTTTGCGAGAGATCGTGCACAAGATGGCGGGCGTGGAATCTTGTGAGGAGATGACCAATGATCAATTGCAGGCCATGTGTGGTGGCGAACAGCTTAGGGGAGAGGTACAAATCTAATATACTTTTAAATACTACATCTTAACGAGTTTCTTATTACAGGCTGGTTACTTTAGCCAAGTGAGGAATACGAAAAAGTCGTCTAATCGTTTAAAGGAGGCCTTGGCCAAC